CCTCGAGAGGGGAGGAGGGGTGCCGCGGGGGACCGCCCGGTTCCCGGGGCCGATCGAGGGTCCGGAGCAAGGAGGATGGATCCTCCTCTGGGGGAGACAGCGAAAGCCGCGGGGGGGGGGCCGCGAAGAAGAAGAAGAAGAAGAAGAGGAAGAAGGCCCCCCCTATGCGGCAGAAGCAGCAGGCGGAGGTGGCGGCTCCCGTGAGCCAAGGGGCTGCCGGGACCCCCCGGCCCGTCGCGGGTGTCGACACGTTCGCGACGGTGCTGGGGCGGAGGGCAAAGACCGCCCAGGCAAAGGCGGCCAGGGCCTCCTCCGGAGCGGTGGCCCCCGGTCCCCCGGCGAAGGGGAAGACCGGGGGAGCTCCGAGGAAGGCCCCCGGGCGGAGGGTCCCGCGGACGTCGGCCGTCGTGCTTACACGATCCGACGGCGACTACCGCGGGGCCCTATCTGCCCTAAGGGGCAATATTAGCCTCGACGAGCTGGGCATCGGGGACCGGGTCTCTATTAGATCCGGGGCCACCGGTGCCCGAGTTATCGAGGTGTTCGGGGAGGGCCACGCCGAAAAGGCCGACCTGCTCGCCGAACAGATCAGGCGGGTCCTCCCCGACGAGGAGACAACGCGGGTGAACAGGCCGCGTAAAATGGCGGAGATCCGTCTAAGGGATCTTGACGACTCCGTTGGAGTCGAGGAGGTGAGGGGGTGGGTGGCCGATGCGGCGCGGTGCAGCGTCTCCGACGTACAGTGCGGGGCGCTGCAACCGGCCGCCGGGGGCACTTTCAGCCTTTGGGCCCGCCTGCCCCTCACCTCTGCGAAAGAAATCGCCCAAAAAGGGCGAATTAGGGCCGGCGGGTTTCGGCCAGGGTGGCCCTTCTCGAGGCGCAGCCTATGCGCTGCCACAAATGCCTCGAGAGGGGCCACACGAGGGCGATGTGCCCCGGTGAGGCGGACCGCAGCGGGAGGTGCTACAGGTGTGGAGTAGCCGGTCACACCTCCCGCGGCTGCCGGGCTGCCCCCAGGTGTCCGCTCTGTACGGACAGGGGCAGACCGGCGGCGCACGTGCTGGGCGCTAACACATGCATCCAGCACAACGTGCGCGGACGTCCACCAGGTGCTCAAGGGAAGGCGCCGGTCACTGCGACTTCCCCCCTGGCTGAAGCTCAGCCGGTGAGGGGGGAGAAGGCGGGGCCGAGCTGCGGAGCGGGCGAGACGCCCAAACCGCAGCGTCGGCCGCGCCAGGAGGCGTGCGAGGGAGGGGCCCCGGCAGAGGAGGCCATGGATGTGGAGGCCCCATCGGACGGGGGGGATAAGACCTAGTAATGCCTCGACACCCCCCCCCGCCCGATTCCAGGCGGTTATGGCCTGATTCAGGCCAACGTGAACCACTCTCCCCATGCGCAGGATTTACTCCAGCAAAGCATGGTGGAGAGGGGGTTCACGTTGGCGATCGTGGCCGAGCCCCACCGCCCCCCCAGGACAGGCAGACCATTTTGGGCTGTCGATAATGGGGCTGCGGGGGACTCGGTCGCGATACGATGGCGGTCGGTGCCGGGCGGGCCCGACACGACCGCCATCACTAGCGGCGAACGGCACGTAGCCGTTCAGTGGGGGCCCATCGCGGTCGTGGGGGTTTACCTCAGGCCCACCAGGCGCCCTGCCCCGTTTGAGGACTGGCTCTCGGACATAGGACAGACTGTCCTGAGTCTGAGTCCGAGGCCAGTCATCGTGGCCGGGGACTTTAACTCGTGGCATGCGAGTTGGGGTTCCCGGCACGATAACGAGAG